TTTTTCAAAGTTTATGATTTACTTTATTGTTATTTTATCGATTTGTGAAAAACTTTTATAATGATCCTCGAATTAGCGACTTATTTCAGTAGAAAAAATTACATAAGGATCTTGGCTACGGTTGAGCTGCTTATAACAGCTTCATTAAAACGATTTTCGAGCAGAGCAGTTGAAAAACATCAAAACAATTGAACAGATGCGGTGCATAAAATGTCCTCTCTTTTTGTCATTTGTTTTTATCCAAAATCCTATATTTTTGACAACCTTGATCCTTTAAGGGTTCCTATATTTTAAAAGAAAGTGTAATCGGAGGCCAGAATACTCCTCTTACGCTTACGAAGACGCAGTGAGTTACTTTCATTATTTAGCAATTATAAAAGCTCTCGATGTGCGACAATATTTGTTGTTTTTTTGATACAACAAATCACAAGGCAAAAGAAAAGAAAATGAAAATAGTAGATTGATACTATCGTCCTCCACTATCGGATATACATGCGATTTCAGTAACTCATTGTAGTTCATAATGATTTTATTTTGTAAGTCACCAGAAATTGAAAAGTATTGAGATAGGTTCGTTGTAAACTTTATAAACGATTTTGTTTGATAAGAAAAAATAAATAAATAGAAAAAAAACTGCCTTATAGTTTGCATACACAATGAAGAGATTCGAGCTAGAATAAATTCAAAAGCATGCGTACCCATAGTTGTTCACTATTAAGTTGTAATATTTTATCAGGCTTTAGCCATACTAGTGAATCTAAGAAGAAAACATAAATACATCAATTTCGATTCGAAATATTTTTCAATATGTAAAATTTATACTCTTAAAGATATCGTGAACGTTAGAATACAAAAACTTGGTAAATTTCATTTTCATCGAATTTCTTTTTCGTCGATGCCAACGCTATCGAATAAATTGTTAGCCGAAAAATACCGTATCAAATATGATTCATTCTAGACATAGAATTTTATTATAATAAACTGGTCTATTAGCAACGATTTTGTCTCAAACTACTTATAGTTAGCAGTATTGTAATTTTCCTTCGAAGGTTTCTGAACCCTAGATCAAATTAAACTTTTTCTAATTACAAAAATCCTCTTTATATGCTTCTGCAAAGATAGTAAAAGTATAACACATCCGTAATCATATGCCAATTTGATAGCGAACTTCGGACTGTTGCTATGGATGATACCAGTTAATTATAGAGAGTAATCCGTGCATAATGGCAAGCCGAATTCATTTTCACTTTTTTGACGCTAAGAGTAAATAAATAAAATTTCCGAGGATTTGAACAAGATCTGGTCACGTTTCAATATTGAAAAAAGAAACAAACAATAAGAAAGTCTAGTTTTATTTGTTCAACTAACGTACGACCAATACTGTGCTTCGTTTCATGTAGACATTTGTCATTTAATAAGTTATTCTTATCGAATCTTTTTAATAAAAAAATGGTGCAAAAAACAGAAAAGACCAACTTGAAATTTTAATGAAACAAAAAAAATAGATTTGCTTTTCAACATGTTCTCAATTGCTGTAGTTTTTCAATCGATGCAATCCAATGTAATTGATGGCGTTCAAGATCAGCTGTGACTGTTGAACAACGAGTTTCAATATTAGATAATGTTCGACTAAATACTTCTTTATATTTCTGCAATATACATAAAAAAAAATTGATTTAAAAAAATAATTCAAAAGTAGTTTCTACCTGATATGCGTGATTACGTTGTGTTACTGTTTCCATTTGGGGTAGTGTTGTCTTTTGTGTTACAATAGAAGCTGATGATTTTTGTCGTTGACTTGCAGCCGATGCACGTTTTCGTCCTGCCATTGCTGATTCACGGCGTTTATTCAAACCATCATCAAGTAAAGGTAAACCTGTGCAATAAATCGAAATGAAAAATTCATATGAGGTCTAGTTTGAAATAAACGACTACTTCTGCGTTGATATTTGTCGATATTTTGTATCTCAAGTGAAACTTTATTTGTATAGCGTATTTGTCAGTGTTCGAAATCAACGAATCTTTTGTCTTACATCACAATCTAGACTCGTATATCTATTGTATACAGTTAGTTTGTTTTTTGAAATTTAACATGTCGAGAAATAAATACAACGCTTGACTGGAACTTTCAGAATATTCTAAGGATGCTTTCACTTTTTAATAAGCGCACATTTAATGACTCGTCTTTCGAAATCAATAGAAACAAATTCATTGAAGCGTAGTTTAGTTCTATCGTTTTGTGTTTTTTAGTGAGTATCGTATATAATAGTCACTAAAAACAGTTTCTCTACTGAAGCTACACCTCGTTAATGCTGAAGCTATAAAGTAGGTTAAATAAATATACCCGCCCAATGGCCTTGTTTTCTTTCAAGTATAGGTGTTGGTTCAACATCTTCCAAAGGTCTTCCTGCTTGTTGACGCCGTACCAATTCTTCGAGTGGTTGTTTTACAGGAGGTATTTCTAAATATGTACGTTAGAAATTTCATAAATAAAAAATTATTTTTCTCACTTGTTCGGGTTATTTCATCAGCTGTTAAAATATCATCAAAAAGAATTAGTAAACGTTCAGCATTTGTTGCTAATGCACCAATAGTTGCTTGGCCATTGGTTTGAATATCTTCCTAGAAGAAAACAAGACGTTGTTTTTATCTGTCTAATTTAAGTTTTGTATATGTTAATTTACAATAGTATTTGATCGAAATTGCGTAACGACTTTCAACAGATTACTTTGACGTGATTTTTCTCGATTATCAATCTCTTGTAATTCAGTTTTTCGTGTTGGATGGCCAAGAGTTGGACGAAGTTGATCAAAATTTTTAGATTTTTCTTCATTTGCTTCATTCAATATTTTCTCAAGTGCTTCATCGAATTGTTGCTTAATACCATTAAGAACTTTTTCCGCCTCTTGAGTTTGTTCATCGAGTTCAAGTTTAGCCATTAACGATGATGTACGTTCAATTAATTCGAGCATTTCACGAAATTCTACAAAATAGACAATGTTTCTTTTTTGTTAGTAATCATAAAAGAAAAACAATAATAACCATTGATTGAATGTTCATGATAAACACGGCATTGTTCTTCATAAAGTTTTAATTTTTCAATCATCGTTGTAACATATTCGTCGAATTTTTCACGTACCGCAAGAGGACGTGTAACAGGACGAGGACCTTTTTCTTTATAATAGATCTATTCAACAATAGATCAAATTAAATTTCTAGAATAATTATCTATTTACTTCTGCATGAGTAAGTAAACCTTCAGTTGCGTCACGTAAAATATTCATTATTTTCGAAAGAAAATCTTGTCCTGGATGTCTTTTTTCACCAAAACTACAATAGAGCGCATAGATTTCATCACGCGTTTTAGTTCGACTGGGTCGATCACGTCGAACAGTTGGTGTTGATTCATCGCCTCCTACTGATCTAAGACAAAAAAAATATGTGTTTTAAAAATTATCATATCAAACCTAGTAAAAAGATACTTACCCTTTATGAGATGCACTTCTTCGTTTCGAAATTACACTCGATTTTTTTGTTTGTGATGAACGTGTTGATGACGCCGATGCTATTGACCGCGTATTATAACCTAAAATTACAAATCTTCTAAATACCTCTTTAGATAAAAGCGATAAAATATTCAAAACTTTAGTTTTTGACATCTGTTGTCACGTTCCACAAATGCATTGTTTAATGAGAACAAGTTGCATACGATAAGATAGTTTACGATGTAACTGTGACTATACAACGAGGGATAACTATTCATGTAGATTTATTCAGTTAATATACACACTAGTCTAGAAATATCTGTCCTAGTAAAACATGTTAAATAGACTCTGTAAAAATCATAAATGAGTACTTTTTTCCGTTGTCTATTTTTACTTCAATATGGTAATGTGATATTTCATATTGATATAAAATAATAGAAACTGCTTCATTTATGCTTATGCACATTATTCTAAGGATTTACATACAAATTTCAACTAAATTCTATGAGCTATACAATATTACAATAGCTACTTAAAGTAATATCGATATTAACTCAACACTAATTTCAAATAGAGTAGAAATAGATAATTTTGTATTAAATACAAACTTAAAGCAGCAGGTACACCGGGTTCAACAATTTCATCAGATTCATGGTGATCGCTTTTGCTACTAAATGAAAAACAACTATATTTATAAAATCTTTTTATTTTTTATTAATGACTCATGACATACTGAAGAAGAGTTCGAATAGTTGAAATCGTATTCAAATCTTCTGCGTGTCCACCTGCCAAACTAGATACCGGAGCTGAACCAACTTTATTGTGCGATGACGGTGTCATTCCAGGTGTTGATGTTGAAGCAAATTTCACTGATTTAACTTCATCAATATTACTTACAGCACTAGCACTCATTCTAGATGTTCTTCGGGATGGATTTATTTCATCACCATTTGACACATTCAACAGATCATTGACTAATTCCTCTGAATTATTCCAAAATAATCAAATAAAACGCAGACAAAAACAAACGTTTAAATGGTACCTTCAGAAAGTAATCCTTTATTTCGAAGTGTTGTGACAAGTGAAGCTGGCACCATCAGCTCATTATTAAGACATTTCAAGTATAAAGCTCTTTCATAACTGGATAAAATAATTTGTTGGAAAAGTTCGCGAACTTCACCTAATGTTGATGGCTATGAAATAAAAAAATATAAATTTATATTTTAGTTTTATTCAATGTTATTTCACTAACTTCTTTATCAAGATTAGGATTGAATATCGAATCGATTTGATTTCGATAGGATAAAACAAGTTTTTTAAATCCATTTGATTGTTGATTACTTCCAGAAACTTCACTTTTTATTTTAACTTGCGTTTCACTGATCCATCGATTTGATGTTTCAATAAATACTAAATCTGTCATATGATTTTTAAAACTAAATTCAAATAAATCTCGAGAATTGTTAATGTTGGTTCAAAAATGTTTACCGCTCTTGAAATTGATTCATAATTTTCGTTGCTTCTTCTAATTGTTTTTTTTCTAGTTTCTCCATTTCTTTTAATATAGCTGTTTCAGATTTATCAATTAGAGCTGCTGTTTTTTCAAGTTTTTTTCTATAAATTTCAATTTCATCACGACTAAAATTTCCACCATCAGAAAACATTCTACATGGCAAAAGAAACTCAACGTAAAATCTTTCTATTTGAAATCAATAAATTCTACTTGAATGATTTACGAAATTTAACATTTGCTTGTCTTAAATATTGCATAGCATCATCAAAACGCTTACGAAAGCCTCTCAAAGATGTTCGAACTTTTTCCATGAATGAATCACGTCTTTTTGATAAACGATCTTGCAACGATAGCAGACGGCCACTTGTAGTTGCATTTACAAAAACTTGTTCTAAACCAAATATTTCATCTTTATATGTTACTATTGATTCAGCAAATTCAGTCAACATTCGACGATAATCAGCATCGGTTTGTTCTAAGGTTTCCTGTACACCACGAATATGACGTTCAACTCGTTCATCATGCATGACAAGTTCAGCTAAAATGTGATGAAAAAGCAATTTTCAAAATGATTTGTTTTATTTTTCACTGTATTATATTAAAATGAAACCATTGAATTCGACACTAGAAATTGTGTGACTGTGCATTTCTTCGAAATTCATTATTTTTAACGAGCGAGTTAACTTTTTAGGCCAGCGGAGGCATAAGGTTATCGCATGTTATTCTAGAAAGTGAAGTAGGATAACTTGGAAATTTTTCGCAGCAATGAACTATTCGATGGAGAGGAGTTATGGTTCCACTGAATTTTTGACCTGGAATACCATCTGTACAGAGATCTCTTGAAACATGCTACGATTTCCAGCAAATACAAAAAAATATTTCTTGAAAATTTAACAAAACGGTTCTGTGTCAGGGATAAAAGTCTATAATAACAAATCTTTTATGGGCTCTTTCTGGTCGTATCAGTAATTCATTTTGAATTCTACATCAGTTTACGCTTTTAATAAATCAATTTTTCCAATATCTGCTACTATTCTCAAATGAAATTCTGATATACGAAAAAACTATGCTTCGCTTCATATTTATACCTGAAAAAGTCTAAATTCAATATCTGAAGATTCTCTCGAAATAATCAAAGTTTCATAAAAAATCGATTTCTATTTACTAAAATTCGTCTTGATATGAATCGTTTTCGTTTAACTCTGAATAAATGAATAAAATTATTTAAAATCCAAGATTACCTGCTCGCACATTATGAATATCAGTTTCAATACGTATACGTCTCGGTTCATGTAAATGCATCTGAAAATCCATTTCTTTATCAAGTTCATCATGTTTCGAATACATAACAGCTTCGGCTCTTCGTACTGTTTCGTCTCTCCATCGATCATAGTGATCAAGAAAAGCTCGACACAAACTAATCAACAAAATATAATGCAACAACTTTACCAACAAAATAAATCTTCTTCCTTACTTAAACGTAATAGACGGAACAATATGTGATGAAATTCGAAAGCATTGATTAAATGGTATCGTATCTGTATCCAACAGTGATGTTGTATCTTCAGTAAGGAATGTTTGTGCTTGTGGTTGATTTGGATCATAGGATACACTTGCAAGACGACTTTGAGCGTAAGTACTACTTCTGTCCGTTGACTGATTGTCGTCATCAGTCGAACTAAGTTTTTGTGTTAAGTCTGAATCTTGACCCACATTAAGTTCAATTTCATATGTTATTCGTGCTAACGACGTTGTATAACACTGCCGATTATTATTTGATGATACAAATTCTACATTAGGGTCATCATTACCCATGGTAGGTTTTTCTTGAGCATGAAAATAAGCAAGCATTTTATTTTTATATTGATTAACTTCTTGTGCAATCATATTAGAATATTTATTTACAATCGAATGTTCCATATCATAAAATTGAGCATAACTAAAATAATTCGTTTATTTTCTCGAAGAGTTTTTCATTGTTTCATACCTTGCTTTAATTGTATCGAGTTGTTCATAGGCCGTTGCCAAAAGACGACTTAGTGTTGTTTCATTTGGTGCACTACGCATTTCATCCAATGCTGAATCAAGTTTGTTTAATTTTTTCTTAAAAAAATTTAATTTATTTCTACGTATTGTTTCGATTAAAACTTTATCATACTTCATTTTGAACATCATGCGGTCGACGACAATCACGCATCATATCAAGCAATTGTGCTGTAACATGTTCAAGTTGAACCTGATGTTCGTCCCATTGTTCAGCTGGTGTTTTTATAAATGCCAATAGACGATCGATCGTTTTATACATTGAATTTGTCAATTGTTCATATGTTGCCTATTGAAAATAAAATATGAATTATCAAATCAAATGCTTAAGACAAATCGCGTAGAATTAGAACTCTAAAGAATCAGCGCACGTTTGAAGTCAATGGTATGGTAGGGACAATGTCTGTCAAAACAAAATGCTGTTTGTGCAATTGACAACTATGACACTTCTGTCGTGTAAAGTTAGACAGATAAAGACATTTTGGGAAACATAATCTAAAAATTACTATCATCAAGATAGTTTGAAAAATAATCTGCTTGAACTTGAATGTACGGTTCGAAAACGTATGAACTCGAAGAACTCTAAAATAGTAATTACATAATTAACTCTTGTCATTTTCAGATTCTTTTAGTCCATGACAAATATATTTTTATTAAACTTAAAAAACTGAGATACTCTATGTTTTTCACAGACTAAAAAAGTTGACTCATAGATTATTGTAACATGATAATATTCAAGTCTCCCTTTCTTTGTAAAATGATTCAACTGTGAAATAATCTATTAATTATCATTTTACTGATTGATGTATATTAAACATTATGTCTTTGAATTAATAATAGTCCTACCTCAGCTTGATCGATCACTGATTCTTGTAAATATTGTTTTCGATCTTCAAATAACTGTTGAATGTCTCGTTCAAACACTATTTGTATTTGTTCTACATCGTAGATTTCATTTTGAAGTACTTTGTCCTTATGAATACAAAAGAATTTTTAAGATCTATAGACTCTCTTTTTGAATCTATGTTTACTTGGATTGTTTTTGATTCTTTTTCTAATACATCAATTTCATTGTCGACTATTAATGCTATTTGATGAGCTAGTTCTTTTCTTAGATCAACTATATCATTTACTATATCATACGCTTGCTTGAACCATTTGTCAGCATTTTCTTTGGTTGATACAGGTGGAATAAATGTACTACAAAAATTAACAATCTTTATTTCAGAATTAAAACAATAAAACTATTTTACTTTAACAAATTAATGTGTTCAACTAAGTTACGTGTTTTCTCGGTAATTTTTGATCCAACCGATGCACATGTTGATAATATTGTTGGTTGTAATTTTGCTTTGCACTGAGACAACTTAGAACTAAAACATAGATGATTATGATATATTGACGAGGGAAGCTTTATAAGTAGTTTCCGTTCACAGCATGGAGAACGTTCAGGAGCAAATGAAATTTCAATTTATTGTTTATTGATGTATTCTAAAGTCCTCTGATATTGTAAATAGTTTAGAAGTTGAGAGCATTTTAAATTGAAGAAAAAAACTGTCAACATGAAGGTTAAAATTAAATTCTCTTAGGAATACACGGACGTTTGCTGTTTCTCTTATTAAAATTCTGATTTCGTCATAATTTTAATACGAGAAATATATCTTTACTTACAGAAAGATACTCGCCATTATACTCCTCTGATCTGGCGCACTCAAGAATTATTCTAACGAACTTCTAGTGTTACTATGAACGTTATTTTTATACGAAACACCACATGGAGTTTTAATGTTCGCGATTTTATATTGAAATATCTTTCATTGACAGATGATCTAAGCGATTGAACTTGCCATTTTTTCTTTATACTCGATAAACGATTGAATCTGTAGAATGATGAGTCTCACAAAATGTTGCATTCATCAAAGATACTGCATTTGAACTTCACTTCTTGAATAGCTACTCCGAAATTTCATCACTACAGCTGCAAACTCAGTTAGAAAAAAAATCAGTATCTTACATCCAAGTCTGCCTGTAAATAATCCACATGGAATCTCTCCATTTACTTTGATGATCAACTAGTTCACCACGATAATGATGCACACGATCAGTTTCACCTGTTAATAATCTTGCTTCAAGTTCAGTATAAACTCTGCGATTGTCAAGTATTTGAGAATTCAGTTCCTATAACCACAGAAAATTTCAACAAAATTTTCGTATTTTCTTCAAGTTTTTAATCATTTTATATATTTACATTCGCTTGTTTTTCTAATTGAGCAGCTGTATCTTCATCGGACAAATGATGAGTTCTATAAAGACGTTCAGAATAAAATTTAAACAAATCACGTATCTAGAATGTGATATAATGCAAAAATACACTATTCTCTATGAGAATATTTCATAGAAAACAAACTTTGCGAATTCGCTCCAGTTCAAGTCCTTCAATGGTTTGACAATAGTCTTGAATTTTAGAAAGTCGTGGTGGAAGAATATTTTCCAAGTATTCGTATGCATTTCCAAATGATTCAATTGTTAAATTTGTAATTTCCTAAATGATCAATACATCGAATATTTTCCGCTTTCTAAGAATTCGATTGTTCTTATTCATATTGAATTTGAATGATATTATCATTGATATGAATGACCACGCTTATAGAGGAATAATAATCTATGCAATTGTGACCTTACTAAATCTCTTTTTTTGTAATAGAAATTTCTAACAGAACGATAAATTTGCATACGATTGTTGTATATATATAACCTTTGGTTATACTCTGGACAAAGTCATTATTCGTCCATTCAAGATTGTTATTAAGTATGCATTTTCCAAGTGACCTTTCGAGTTTATCAGTAGTATGAAATTGTTTCTATACTTAACGACTATTCTGTTTCAAAGTTTACCCCCATGCGTACATATAGAATAGAACGTACGCCATCGAGGCGTTTCGATAGTTGACTGTTAGTTCAATCGGTGAAAGTAAACAAAACGATTCAATGTATTGAACTCAACGAATCAAAAATATGATTGACGAATGTGTTTCTCTCGGTCGCTGATATATTTTTACAATGGATCAATTTATCGCAATCAATTAGATTAGAAGTGAGTCATCGACAATATGAATAGGTTATATCAGCTCTAGAATAGAATCGAAAATATCATTGAGAAACCAAAAAATAGTAAGTAATCCTTCGACATCTTATCCATCAAAAAGAGACATTTGATAATATATTGACTTAAATTTCTCAACGAAAAATATCATGACTCATAGATATTTGATTTGAATAATAAAATACATACAGAGAGCTCTATGCTGTGAGTCGACGAATAAATATACCTATGGTATGTATGATCGAAATTTTAAAGTTACTCAATATCATACCGAATTGATATAACTTTTATAATCAACATATACTATAAGCTTTCACACAATAAAACTTTCTTTTTACGTTATTATTTCATTAGTCGAAATCGATCTTAGCTAGGAGCTTTTGTCATCTTATCGACACTTAAAAAAGATTAAGGTAATTTCGAATCGATTGTCTATTAGTTGATTCCCTAGAGTTAAATTATACTACAGGATGAATTCTTGTCGTTTTTCGTCATCAATCTGTTGTGTTGACGGATTTCAGTTTTCTTAAGTATGAAACATAACCTATAAGAATAAATTTTTAAAGTTATTTTTTATAGGCAACCTTGCAAGTAATACTTGCATTTAAAGTGAAAGTAAAAAAAGATTAATCTTAGAATTGATGATACATTTTGTAGTGGATTTTCCTGAGACAATGTATCAATCACTTTAGTTTATTTGAAAACGAAATTAGTTTACTTAAAATAGCCAGTCATGTTTTGTGTATCTTATCTTAAGCACAATAGCCATCGTAAGATTAGCAAAAAATAAGATTACACGACTTTATCTATGCATATCTTTCGACTCAAATTTCAATTGTTTTATTGAACTTTCGACTTACTTTCAGATACGTATTTACTAAAGAATATGATAGCAAAATTTTGACCTATAGTAGTTAGCCTCAATGATAGATCTAATAATCAGTGGAGTATCCTATAAATTTCACCCTAATAAAAACTTCAAATCTCTCAGTGTTGTCATTGTTTAATTAATGAAACATACGTTATGATAAATTATTGTTTGTAATCGATTATTGATTTCTAGAATAAAATTTTGAAATAAATGCGTATTAAAATCAAACTTCTATACCTATATCACCGTCTTCAAAATAGATGTTACATTCTCGCGTTATTTCTTCTAGATCGTTTAATAAATTCTACAGAAACAAAAAAATAAATCATTTTTGTTAATCTAATTTTCAATTGAAATACTTGATTTTCTTCAGATATTTTTCCTAATAATTCATCCCACAATTGACTGAATTTAACTTGTCGACTAGCTGCTAATCTTTCAGTAACATTTTTACTGGGATTGCTTTCATCATTTTCCAATTTTTCTATTTAAAATAAAAGAATATTGATTGTTTATTTTTATTTTTTTGTTAGAAAGCATATTTCGTACAGACCTTGTTCAATTTTATCAGGTAAATTAAAAACTTCTTGCTTCAACTTTTCAACTTCTTCCAGTTCCGCATTTTGACGCCGTTTTTTTTCATCACGAAAACTAGATTTTGAAATAGAGAAAATAAAACGAGAACATAATGTCTCTTACAGTAAATCTATCGGATTGATGTCTGGATTATTGTTGAATGGTAAACTCGACAGCCATTGTCGTTTTTGAGATTCTAGAGAGAAAATTTCATCATTTTATCTGTTTTCGAGTTTTAATGTCAAAATAACACTGAGAAAAACACATTGCGTTTAGGCATTAAATCGGAAGTGAGATACAATAAAAGACACTAACTTACATCCAATAATAAGCTTTTATGAATAGCATCCTCTATTTTGATTCCTCCTTTTTTTCATTCAGGATAATGAATGTCATCTAGATCGAAATGCGGTTTAAACATTCTTCTGAGCAGTTAACCTCGTTAGCTTATTACTGTAGAATACTTCAAGTTTCCAAAAATGTTCCATATAAATTATGTGTTGCTTCTCAGAAATACTAGGAAACTAATATTTCAGTTTTCTTTGGAAATTGTGTTGAAATTTTATGCCGCTGGATTTTCTTCTATTTCGAGATTAGAAAGTCATCGATACTCCGTTGGTTTATGCGAATAATATAATAGATATGCTTCTACGGTAGTTTTATCGTACAATAGAAGTAACAACAACTAGATCTGAAGTCTGCGAAAGTAGCTAATCTCTCTCCTTGAAATGTATTATCTTCAGAGTATTAAAAACTATGTGGGGATTTTTGGCAGTAGGTATAATTAGAGTGAGAACGAAGTGTATTACGGCCGTAAAGGTCATATCTTCAGTATGAAAGTTTATTTGTGGAAGAAGAGTGTATGAACTGTCGATATCCTACTGAGATCATCATCAGACGCAATATGACGCATTTTATTTTACAATTTTAGTGTGATTCATTTTACTAATATGACATCTGTTCGAAAGAGACAAGTTCACACACTCTTCTTCAACAAATAAACTTTCATACTGAAGATATGACCTTTACGGCAGTAATACACTTCATTCTGGCTCTGATTAAAAACTAGTTTTATTTTGAGGTAATGCACTTAGTCTTTCCTCAAAAACAAAATTATCAGACCGAAAACTTCTCTAGTTAAAATAACATTAGCCTACTACAGATTTTTAAGTTAATATATTTTGTATTAGTGTAATTCGACTAGAGTTCACATAGGAGTTGTATATTTTAGCTATAGGTAAATCTGCGCTAGTAAGCTTTTTTGTATCTTTTTAGATAGTAGTTTCAATTAAATTTTAGTTTCGATTCTTGAAGTCAATATAATATAAATTGTTTCACATTTAAAAAAAAAGATCAATCAATGACGTTCAAAGAAACAAGTACTCAAAAGTAATTAGTTCTCGGCTGTTCTTTCAACTCGTTTCGTGTTAATGAATATCAAGTTAATCTTCTTTTTAAATAGACACAGCGACATATTTCTCACATCGTGCTACGTTTTCAAGACTCTTCACATAATTGTTTATAGGACTTAGTTTTTATATCATTTCACAATTGAAATGGTTCATCTTGGCTTTTTCTAACGGAAAGAATCTATTTAGATAATTTATATAAATCATTCATTGCTTTGTGTACTCAAAAAGTGAGTGCACTCTAGATTCGGTCAGTGTGTCCGTCCGGCTGTTAACACAATAACCTTTGAAAGCCTCATCCAATTGTCATGAAATTTTTTACACAGAAGGATCTCATCAATATCTCAGTCGAGTTCGAAGATGAGATGGATCCGTCAAGAAATGGCTGAGTTATCGAAAAAATTGTCATTATTGACCAGACCATCCCTGAGGGTGGAGTACAGGGATTTTTTCTCAGAATTACTCACAACATATATAAATCGATTCAGTTTCTGCAGTACACATAATAATCGGATGCGAATCCGATGTTTCCGCATTTATTCAAAGTAGTTATTGTATATGCATGTGAACAAGACATGTTTTTTTATTTATTTTCTAAAATTCAGAGTAATAAATAACTTCCTTGCAGAAATTTTCAGTAGAATGTTTTTATAGTTTTTTTCTATCTATTTCACATGTATCGTCGGTTGAATAAGAGTCGTATCATACGGATTAGCTACACTATTAGAATTCCTAACTTTGATGAAATAGAGTTAAGCAGAGAAGAATACTTTTAATTTAAAAAAAAATAGAGTTTTGTCGTAGTCTAATATTCTCATTTATAATTTCATAGATATGAAATGTTCATTCTCATATTATTCTAGTCACATAGATAATACCTTGTTAATGCAAATCCTCTCAGAAAAAAATTACAAAGTCAAACTAGATTGTGCATATATCAAAATTTTCTCATTAGTAAAACTTTAGAAATATTCGAATAACGTAGAATTAGTTTTTCTTTCTCGAATATTAGCGGAACAAATGTGTTCAGATAGTTTAGGATAATTACAAGTGAAGAAATTTACCGTGTGGTCTAATATTTCGTATAAGTGGTGTAGCATCTGGATGTGCAATAATATTAACAGGTTTTGAGAGTTGATTATCTCGAACTCGATTATAAGTATCACTTAATTGTACCTATTTAAATTATAAAAATATATATTTTCAAAGTTTTTACAGACACACTAATTCATAGGCCGTAATTTCAAGAATAACTTTTTTTATCAATAAACTTTGTAAAAAACGAAACGCTCGAATTTATAAGTTTTAAGAAAATTTTTTCATTTTTAATGGTTCACTAATTTTAATTATAGCATAACGTCTAGTATTCATAAATAAGTAGAACTGTCATTAAAAGAAACTTGGCAGAATAGTTTTATTTTAATTTTATGTTAAAATAAGGTCATCTTTAAAAGTACGGTCTAGGAATTTTTTTAAATTCATAATAAGCTGCTCTTACTTGGGCATCAAATAATTGTCGATAAACTTTATTATTGGGTAAAATTCGAACATTAGCGGTAGCAGATGAAGTAGCCATTATCGTTCAATTAATTTATCTATTGAAAACATATGTCGCTCGTATTCACCATTCGATATGTTTGAAATTCAGTTACTAGGCAACCATCTCTATTTCTATGAATCATATCTTTTGTTTTCTGTTGGAGGATTTAAAATGCATAGTAATGGCTGCTATCACTCGATAGTAATCTATCGTCTTTTTCTTTTTCTTCTATTCTTTCTTCCTTGTTCTTTCGCAAGGAGTAATCTACGTTCTTCTCCGTATACACACACATACACATTCATAGGATGTGTGTGTTTTTACGCAAACGAGGGCATTTATTTTGCTCAAGTCTAGCTGATGTCGATAAGTACATTGGTATCGATAAGATCCGTGCACTTGCAATTATTTTATTTTATTTAGTTTATATTAATTTTCTCTGTCTTTTTGTTTTGGATTTCCCTATCCCCGGTGACTCATCGGTTGTGTAACATGGAAATAGATTTCGCACCATCGCATAATCCAACATTATTTGGTTCATTATCAGTCTCTCCACCAACATCAATGTTCGATTCATTCTCGCCATTACTTCATTTAAATGATGATTTTTTGGATGTATTAAATGCAACCAATGACGATGACGACGTTGAAGATTGGATGAAACCTCTATTATTTGATCAATTGCTCGAACATGATTTCCAGCAGAATTTTCTGAATTTCAATGATATTGAAATAAAAGAAGAAACACAAGAAAATGAAAAAGAAAAACTAACTAATTCCTCATTGAATATTCAAGAGAAATTCAAAATAAATAATAATTATTCTCAATCACAATCGACAATACGAAAGAATGACTTTTTTCATCAACAATTTTCTGAACAACAATTACCATCAACAACAACAACAACAACAACAACAACAACTGTTCGTTTAATACATCAAGCGAAAATTGAACCAGCGGAAATACCAACAACATTATATCTTAGCAGTAATGAATTGCAATTTCATCCAATAGTTACATCAAATAATAATGGAAAAACATTTGGTCATACCTATACAAGTAAGTATACTAGATCGTAAACATTTTCGTCAAAATATAAACGAAGTTCAAAGTTGAGATTAAAATTATCAGTAACACATAATATAAGATTTTCTATGGCTTTACGCTGACTGTTTTTAATCATAAGAACTTTAAGTGGTATTCATGTATACTTGACTTTAGAATTATTGTGCACAAATTTTTCTATATTTTCTTTTCTCTTATTTTAAGCAACAACATCATCACCAATCCCGTCAGTACCCATTCAATCATCGTTACCTATTGTACCGGCAAGAGTATTAAAAGGAAAGAAATTCAAACGTGGTGGTCGAGTTACATCACGAGCGTAAGATTCAATTTTGTTTTACACTCGATTAAATTCTTATCAATTATTTTAATATTTAGAACATCTAGAAATAGTGCAGCAGCTAAAAGACGATTAAACTCCACAGGAGCAGGTAAACATATTTCCTGTTGGTCAACACAGAAAAGTTTTTCATTAATATTTTCGTTTTCTAGAACCGAAAGCCAGTGTTGTCATAATTGCTGAAGATGCAACAAGAATTGATTCCAAAACTACTACATTAGGCTTAAGTTCAACAAGTAGTAGCGATACAGATCTATTAAAATCTTCGTCAACAACAACAACACGTTCATCAACACGTCGTCGTGTTAAATCATCGCCACGCGAAGTTATTCTATTTCGTAATGGTACATTTGTTTCAAAAGAACCTATATCAAAACAACAAACATCTACGACATTATGTTATGAAAATGTAGCATCTAATAATAATTGCCATCCAACACCGCCACCATTACATCAACAGCAAATAACAGCTACCGGTTTACAAGCAGCTGCACAAATTGTTGCTTGCAATGTACTTCGACAAGCGACACTAAATGGTAAGATTATCAAAAGAATGTCATTCGGTTAGAGTATAAACGTGTAAATAACTGAGGTTTACGTTTCGATACATTACAAACATTCAAGAATGTATTGACTGTGGGGGGGGGGGGGGGGGGGGGGGGGGGGGGGGGGGGGGGGGGGGGGGGGGG